GTGAGCCGACTTGATATTTTGGCATTATAACCACAGAGAACGTTGGAATTATAGGATTCACTTCAAAAGTTTCAAACTTTCTATTACACATATCCGTTTACGTTATAACCAATATTCGGACCTAGAAATTGAATTTCGGTGTAACATCCCACGTAATTAGGAATATACATAAAGTGCTATAAGGAACATGGATGCATGAGTGGAATTCGAATTTTGTTAACACATGGATTGTTTGCGAATTATATAACTATTTTCCATGAAGTTCAATTAATTCAAGTTGGGGAATTAATTGAATTACCATGGAAGGTGAGTACCTATTTCATGCATGTGAAATTCTAGCTATGAGTATAGGAATAATTTAATTATAATATATAGAAACCATAACACTACTTAGAATTATATGAGTACTCATTAAAAATATGTAATTAATTTTATTACAAAGAATAAACTCTTAGTTAATAATTGGAAGGCACATAAATTAATAATGCAAGGGTTAATTCTTAGGATAGGAGAACAATTGGACTTATAATTCTAGAACCCAATTTTTCCCCCTAAGTCGATGGCCCATGAGCCATTAGGAGAGACTTGATTCAGCCCTAAACCCTTGTTATCTTAGCCTTATCCTAAGAGGTCTCCAAGGCAGTCTATGATTGGCTTAGGATCTACACATGGCAACTAATATGATTAAGCTCTTGCCTGCGTGACACCTAGCCTTCTATTCTCTTGCATGACCGCCACATGCCCTATGTTTCTTCTTTGCATGTCCGCCACCTTACTCACAAAGAGGGACACTTGGATAATTGTTCCCTTGCTCCATGGTTCGGCCAAATCACCATTTGTCTCCAAGGAAGTATCTTTCAATCCATTAAAACTGAATCCTCTATTTATGCTTCAATTCTCTTAGAAAAGTCTGAGTAACTCAGCTGCTCTTATGCGTAAAACTCTAACCATATGGTGAGGACCTTATGCATATTGTCCTAAACCGGTCCATTCTATAACACCTCACAATTCTAAATTAAGTATTAAAATATTAAGTGAGTAATTAAGTGAAGGATTAGTGAAAAATCCTGAAGATTAGGACAAAATACAAAGAAAGGGCAAAACGATAATTAGCCAACACGCAACCCTAGGAAGATAAAAATTGAGTAGAAGGTCTCAGATGGTAAAAATAACCCTGGAAATGGATTCAGAACGAAAAATTGAGGGGATAGGCAAGTTTCAGAAAAATCAGTGAATAGTGTTTTTACCGAGTCAAAATATCGAAGTACGATTGCACCGTAAAACGTGCCAGTTGAGTTTTGAGCTCTAGGATTTAAATATGAGTTATAAATGGTCTATAGAACTAGGAAATATGATTTCTGATAATATTTGATGGAATTAAGTCAGTTTGGGGAAGTGTGCCAACGGCGCGCGCAATAGCTTAAAACAGTGTTTTCTCCGAATGACCGGAAAACTCAGGATTCATCTAATTAAAGGGCAATGGTTAATGTTAAAAATTTTAGTTTCTAAATAGGTTGTTAATTTACGGACGTTTAGTGACATCGGAGGAAAAATTCAAGTTAGTTTAAATCGCGTGAGGTGGCGGTGGGACCCACCCCACTTGAAAGTCACTTAAGCCACCTCACCATATGACTATTCATCATCTTCTCTCTCCCCTCATTCTTTCAAAAACGCAGCAGCCCCCTTCCCTTGGACCATTTGAGTTCAAACTTTCTTGCTCTCATAACTTCATCAATCCTTAACCGAATCGAACGATTCTTGCTTGAAATTCGATGGAAACGATCATCTGAACCCCGTTCCACCGATTAGTTTCCCTTGAAACCCTCTCTTTGGTGAGTTATTGCCCATTTACAGCTGCGAATATTTGGAGGAATTTGAGGTTCATGGAGTCATTTGAGCTTCCATTGCTTGGATAAGACTTGGGGTAGCATCAAACCTTGGTTGTGAGTATATTTCCACCCCATTTACATGGTTTGATTGTAGTTTATTTTCATGAACCCTAAACCTTGAAATTTTGATGTGTGATGTTAGAGAGCTCAATTGGGAAAAGTTTGTACATGAAAGTGTCTTAGAATAATGTGTATTAGCTATAAATGCAATGAAAATTTTAGGTGAAAAAAATGATTTTGTAACTTAGAATATTTTGATGTGTCATGACTTGGATTTTGGAAATTGTGTTAAGATGTTATTGGTGAGTTGTTGGATGATTATATGTTGATGTAATGGTGTTGTGTGAAGTGTAGAAGGGTTGAAAATTGAGTGAAATCTCTTGGAATTCTATAAGTACCAATTCGGTCATATTAGGGAAAAGAGAGGAATTGTGTTGGAAAAATTAATCAGATGAGATGTTGTGTAATTAAATGGTAGTTAAATGGGTTGTGTGGTGGTTGGATGGTTGAAAAACCAAAGGAAAAATATTGATGGTGTTAAATGGTTAAAAGGAACCTAGAGTGAATTATTAAGCAAAACGATGCTTAAAAGACGTAAAACGAAAAAACGGCACTTGAATTAGCCTTGTGACAACCTAAGAGTGTATAATAAAATGAGAAAGAAAATTTAGAAAAATAAATTTTGAAAAATGCCTTAGAAGGCCGAACCTACCTAGTGTAGGAGTGAAAATTTGACGTTTTCGCATTTTGATAGAATTGACTTATACTGATGGCTGTACATGGTTGTATAAGTTGTCGTACGTCGATTTGAATCCCGAACCATGAATCGGTGGATTGCCCTTGGTCCCGGACCAATTGGGTTGAGGTAAGTGATTGGATTAATGCATGTGTAATTGTGAATTGGCATGCGTTTTGTGAACTTTGAGTAATTGGGAACGTCCTATGTGTAGGCGTTCTGTTGAGTAACAAACTTGGAACCTAAGCTGCTGTGGAGCTAAGTGAAAGACATTTGAGGTAACCTCTTGGTACTGGGGCTTGTTCCCCTTTTCTGTTCCACCATACCCATTGAGGGTAATGGTAGGAAGTGTATATGAGTAGTGTAGAACAGCATGAGCATGCATGTAGCATTTATGAGGGTACTTATGTACCGAGTCTCTGGCCAGTAGATAGTGTAGCCTTCGGGCAGTGCGGACTTCCACTGGATAGGTCTCCGAGAGGGAGTTCCAGTTGACCTAGGGTCGTGGTGTGTCAACCGGGTAGGAGCACACTAGGAAGTCTCGGGTGTATATGGATGGAAGGGGTACCTTGGTTGTGGTTCTTGGAACACGCCTTGGATGAGACCCGTAGGCTTATATGCCGAGGACATTGCGTGGTATTGGTAGCTACCATTCCAGCTCCGTCGTATTTTATATCCCGATATTCCCCAGTTTCTCTAAATTCCTTGCTATATCCCGTTTTGAAAGTGGTTGTTTTATATTACTTATATGCCTCGAAGTGAACCATTGGGCAGAGTTTTCTCCAGAACCTCTGGGTTACTGAGATATATCCGTATATCTCACCCCGTCTTGGGGAATTTATTTCGGGAGCTAGCAGTGGCGTTGGAGCGGTGGTCAAGAAGCCCGTAGGATGACTAGTGGGCATCTTTATCATTTTGCATTTTGTTGGCCTTGTGGCCTAGGCTAGACTTAGGGCATGAACATCCCATATGTATGTAGGATGAGTTTCATGTCATATTTGTTCATGTCGTTTTGCCTAAGTGTAGTTGTTTATGTCATTTGAGTTTTATGTTTCAAGTTGTAAATTAAAGCATGGAATTGTAAGTTGTAATTTAAAGTTTAAAGTTGTAAGTTGTAATTTGTAAATGTACAAGAGATGCATGATATACTATGATGGAAGGGCTTTAGGCCTATTTTAGGTTTATGATTAATTGTATGTGGAAATTGCATGAAAATGGACTTGATGATTGAAACAAGTTAAGAATTATAAAGTGAGTTATATTGTGTAATAAATATAAACTGAGTTGGGTTGTAAGTTCCCCAAGGCATTGTTGGTCCTTGTGTGTGCCACCCATTGGATTATTAGGTACATTGAGGTACTAGAGAGCTTATGCAAATTTGGGGATTTTAAGAAAAACAAAGGAAACTCTGGCGAATTTTCGGTAGAATTGGCAGATTTTAAACGAACTTCGGGAGAGCATATCTCCCTCCACAGAGGTCCGATAGGGACGTGCCATATGCCATTTTAAATCTTGAGATGTCCCCTACATGGTTTTAAAATATGAGAAAATTCTGGGTTGCACGCCACCCTATAGGAGTCGTTGAACACAGACTATCCAGAACCCCCTTAGGCAGGGGTTGTTTCTGGCAGTTTTTGGGAAATCAATTCCCGCCTCGTTTCTCAGTCAAATTAAGCATATGATATATTAAATTGAAGGTTGAGGTGTCTAGTTTGTAGCATGAAAATTTGAGAACAATTGGATGAGTGTATTTGCTGCAGAAATTCGTGGAGTGAGAGAGGTTTTGAGCTGTTTTGGGGTTGGTTGGCTGTTTTGCTTATCCAACTTCAAACGGCGATAACCGGAGCAAACGAGCTCCGATTAAAGGGTGTGAAAGCTTTTTAGAAAGGGAATTAAGTAAGAAAAAAATATAACCCGAGAGGAAAGTCTGGTTTTAAGCGGTGTGTTCGCAGAAAAATAATTAGTGAACCATGTTCGGAAAGGTAAAAACGTAAAGTTGAGAAATTGGCAAAGTGGGTTTTGGGAACCCCTTAGTAACTTATAATAAGTAAAGTAAGACATACAAATAGTTTAAATAAGTATTCCGCAAGAGTTTACAGTTACGGTCACAACTTTTTATTATTACGCTTTTTATAGTTTTAAATACTCGCGTAATAATCGAAAAAAGTTTATTCGCATTTTTATAAATGAATTGTTGTGATTGTAACTGCGCTTAATATCATAATTAATGTTAACAATACCGGTGTACAACGGGCTGTTACACATTCCCCTCCTTGCCCTCAAAAGGTGAACCCATAAGGAGAATAGCAAGACACCTAAGTATATTCCTCCCCTTTTGTGTGACCGTGTACCAACCACTAAGGAGTTGTGGAACCTAAGTTTACATTCTTCCTCTCTTCTAATTATTCGACTGAAGCTCAGCCTTGAGGAGGTGAGGTTCCCCTTTTGTAATTTTTCCTTGTCTACTCTTGCTCCATTCGACTCGATGATGACTACCGATTGCTTGTAGATTAGAGCCTAAGTTAATTCAATCCCTATCACCCTTGATCCAGCCGTGGACCATCACCAAGGAGCTGAGAACCTAATCCTTGAAGAGTGGATAGCCATCCTTGCATCCAATCAGAACCGTGCCCTTAGGAGAGTGGAAGAGTAAGGAATAAAGCACAAATCAAACTTCATGTTTCTGTTTTCTTTTGTTTGGCCACTGTATGTAGCCTAAGAGGATGCAATTGTGCCATTCCTCACCCCTTGCTCCTGCACTTTGGAACCGTTGGGATTCTAGTTCATGTAAGCTGAAGATGACCTTGGTGAGTTGGAAAATAACCTCCTTTAGTTTGTTGGACTGCACAGGGTATTAGAAAAAATTTATTAAGTGTTACATGTGTTGAATTTGTCGTAGACAGCATGCCTTAGGCCTAGAAGAGGTGGTATTTAAATAAAATCTGAATATCCTTGTTATGTTAAAAAAAACTGAACCTGTATATGAATGAGACTTTGGAAATTTCACTGTTATTTGTTGGCGAATTAAAATGAAGTCAGAAATTGTGTAGGGTAAGTAGAATAACAAAACCGAATTGGTGCGTATGGTAGAACCTTGGAGATTTTGTTTTGCTAGCAATTGTTGGAATAAAAATTTAGGCAGTGAACTACTAGTTTTGGATGCTTGATAAATCGAATAAAATACAAGAATGGAAAGAATGGAAATGACTTGGAAATTATAGGATTAATATGGATTTTCCACTGTTAACGAATTGGGGTATTAACTCTAAGTCAGAAAATTTAATTTGGTCTAGGGACCATGAAAAACCGAATTGTATGTATGGAAACCGATTACAGAATAAGAATAAGCGGCATGAAAAGTTGTTGATAAATTATATGAATAACATGAGACCAATTTTGACTTGTCACACATGTATTTAGGTGCACGTAACTCTTTTTGAGTGAGCTGAATTTTGGTGCTGTTGATTATTGCTTGGACACAAGGTATGTGTTTGGTGGTGAGACCTACCGTGACTATTAGCTAGCGTATGGAATTTTGAACTGATGCTCACATGTGCCTTATGATTAGTATTCGGTTATATGTTATATGTATTCTGCCTTTGGACTTGTCATGATGGGAAATTTCTGCCTATGGAAGTATTTGTTATTCGGCAGCTTGGTATTAAAGATATAAGAGATATATACTATATGATTATGATCTAGTCATGCATATGCACATCATGTTTCACCTGTTCTGTTTGTGTGTGGGTCAAGCATGTCATAGCATACAGCATTATGCACTCATCTTGGAGACTGAAGTATATAATAAAAATAAGCATACGTTTGAGCACGCATCATATAGGCATCCCTCCGGTACCAGGGTATGGGACACTTGGCTTCAGTCCTCTTAGGTCACAGTTGGAGCCCTTTTGAGGAGCCAACCAGGATTCTCCACTGTGTTTGTTAGTACGTGCACGACGGTGCTATGAACGTACATCTTTGGCGTTATATACGCATCTTGATTAGTATTTTGGCATTATATACGCAATATGATTAGTACTTTGGCGTTATATACGCACTATAATTATATGTTAGCATCTGTCCAGAAGAATTAAATGTTGATGCGACTGTTTTGGAATTTTGTGCCTAGTCTAATATTGTTGTTGTACTGGTTTTATTGCCACACTACTGGGATTTTTCTCACCCCTAAATTGCAGGAGGACGAAAGAGCAAATGAAGACATGGTTATTTTGGATATTGGCTGTTAATTTCTGCTGTTGGATTTCTGCTGTTAACTGTTTGCCTGTTGGATGACTGTATTATTGGAATATTTTGGGGAAGTTTGGATTACTGTTGGAAGCATTTTTAGGCTACTGTTTTAAGATTTTTATGATCAGTTAGGACTTTGGAAAAATCCTGGAATAGTTTTGCGAAAACTATTTCTTACGGTTTTGAATGCAGTTTTATAAACCGTTTTGCGAGCACTTTGCAAGTTAAGGTGTTTGTGTGCGACCCATCAGGCCCAACATAGCCACTGACATAAATGGGCTTGGGCCCATTAGGCCCAATCCATCTAATGACAACACAGAGCACTAGCAATGCTTTGTTGTCCCAGAGCTAGTTGAGTTCATCGAATGATCAACCTGTTATACCTATTTGGTTACCGTGTGAATTGTCCTTTCGTCTCGGTTATCCATCCCATTGACCTAGGTCAAGGAAAACATATCAACCCCTGCGGTCTATGGTTAGCTTTTGCCGAAACATGGAATCTTCATTTACGGACTCTAAAGAGCGGGCCATCTCATGACTCCTTTACTATGCATAGATTCTCGAGTTCCGTAAAGGTCATCCTGGTTTCACCGGTCTACGGATAACGTAATCTCTCACAGGGATTGACGAATTCCTTTAGCTTGTCACACTAGCCCTGAGTCCTTAGGGCATGCCCAAGAGTATACCTACAAGTCTCCACTTTTCAGGAAGACAAGATATACAATCAAAGCAAGCCTTCCAGAGCACAGGTCTATACGACAACGTTAGGTCTAAGGAAAGACACACCCAAATAATAAGAGACATTACCTATTGATACTATCTGTGAGATTTCCTTGTAGTGTCTCTTTATGGGTCAGTTCAGTGCGAGATATTCTCCAATAGGTCCACCCACGAGTCAGCTAAGACATCTGCATGTCTGTAGCTCACGAGGACTCTACCTTGCATCTCCATGCAAGTAGCTGAGTCGTGCTAGTCTTACCCGAGATCACCAATGCCCATTATCGGTATCTCTAGACTAGGAACATATTTCTGGCAATGGACTTGTGGTGTCATTGAGCCCTCATGATCGTGATCCCTATCACAGATCCTCAATGTGACACCCGTTCCATTCCAAGGGCTTTATCCAGTTACTCATATTCAATATTCGAGACATGCAATATGAAACAAGATAAATAATGCTTTTATTCATAAAATTTATTCATAACAAATAAAGAAGTACATGGGTCCATCTGACTCTCAAATTGTCTCTATGACACCTATGTACTAACACTAACTGACTTGGCCTAGAGTCAATCTGACCGAAATCTATATCCTAAAGCCTCATAATGACTATTATGTTTTCTCTGAGAAACTTCTTTTGTCAGAGAATCGGCCATGTCACCTTTTGTGGGAACATAGTCTATCTTTACATCCATCCTATCAATGATTACTCTAATCATGTGATATCTGCGGAGCACATGTTTTGATCTTTGATGAGACCTAGGTTCCTTTGCCTGCGCAATAGCACCATTGTTGTCACAATACAACTGTATGGGCTCACTAACGCTGGGAACCACCCCAAGTTCAGTGGTGAACTTCTTGATCCACACCGCCTCCTTAGCTGCTTCTGAAGCCGCTATATATTCAGCCTCTATCATTGAATCTACTATAGTCTCTTGTTTGGAACTTTTCCAAGTCATTTCTCCACCATTTAAGTTGAATACGAACCCTGATTGTGATTTACAATCATCTTTGTCACTTTGGAAGCTAGCATCAGTGAACCATTTCACTGCTAGCTCATTAACTCCACCATACACCAGAAACATATCCTTAGTCCTTCTTAAGTACTTTTGCGGATTGTTTTGACTGTTGTCCAGTGACCCTCTCAAGGGTCTGCCTGGTACTTGCTCGTTATGCTTAAAGCATAAGAGACATCTGGTCTTCTACAGATCATGGCATACATGATGGATCCGATAGCCGAAGCGTATGGTATCTCACTCATGCGATCCTTCTCTTGTTGTGTCTTACGACACATAGCCTTAGAAAGATGCACGCCATGATTGACAGGACGAAAACCCCTTTTCGACCCTTCCATACTAAATCTCATTAGTATTTTTCTTATGCTTACGTTTACAAACAAATTGAAATTCAGGAAATCACTGAGAGATATAGCGGATTTCAAGGCACAGATACTAGGTCTTGTGCTCAGCTTCTTTGTATGCATTACCTCTAATTGTGGAAAGGATCTCCACCAAAAACATCCTATCATCATAGGTATTATCCTCGCGGAAATTCTGTATCCCTACGTGATGTTTGTCATGGCTATGCTTCACGAAAACAAAGAGCTGTTAATTTTTTCAATCTATGTCTTGTTTTTATAATCATTTTTCTTCTGATTTCCTGGGTCATGGCACTCACCGTACCTGCTGAAGTGGTACTAATGATGCTTGTGAGCAAATACAGGCGTCAGATCCTTAATTATTCAAAGTATTGTGCCATTGGAGAGTCCTGCTAAAACTGATGAGGGGCAGCCTATCACCCAGTCCTACTAACTGACCAGGATCTGTCTTATTAGATATTAGAATTGGATACGAAACTGTGGAAATGATGAGAACCTGTAAATGCAATTAGTATTGATGTGTATGATTACGAACACAATAAATAAAAATGGAAATTTGGCTTTATTGAGGAAGCCTCAACTCAAATAACTTTACTGAGGAAGCCTGACCTCTTGCAAAGAGTGCTATTTTCCAAATAATTCTTCTGATGAGCTTTATTCAATAGTTCAAGGTTTAAATAGATAATACAAGCCACCAAAGTGACTATCCACTAACACTAGATATGCTCCACTAATAGTTAATGCCTTACAATACAAACAAAATAATTACCCACTATTTAAACAAGGGTTTGATTTTTCCCATGTTGCATGATATATTTTGTATCATGCAACACACAAAGAAGTGGGTAGGACCCACCTTTTTTCTTTCTCTCTCTTCTTCAAAGTGGATCCTACCCACTTTTTTGTGCGTTACACGACAAACATAAGGAACACATTTTTCTTTAAACAAACCAACAATTCATAAATTAAAAATAAAATAAAAAATAAAAAAATGACCTAAGTGTGTCACGCACACGATATAGCGACGACATGACACACACACTTTTCCCTTACCTAATTAAAATGTCTAACACACGCGCGCACACGACACTGAGAAACTAGAGAAAACAGAGAACTAGAATCGGAGAATAAGGATGACTAATCTAGTTTTTTACTCTTTTTTGAAATTTTTCTTATGCTTACATTTTCGAACAAATTCAAATTCAGGAAATCACAGAGAGATATAGCGGATTTCATGGCACAAATACTAGGTCTTGTGCTCAGCTTCTTTGTATGCATTACCTGTGATTGTGGTAAGGATCTCTACCAAAAACATCTTATCATCATAGGTATTGTCCTTGCGGCAATTATGTATCCCTACGTGATGTTGGTCCTGGCTATGCTTCGCGAAAACAAGGAGCTGTTAATTTTTTCAATTTATGTCTTGGTTTTATAATCATTTTTTTTTTCTGATATCTTGGGTCATGGCACTCATCGTACCTGCTAAAGTGGTACTAGTGATGCTAGTGAGCAAATACGGGCGTCAAATCCTTAATGCCACTATTATTCAAAGTATTGTGCCATTGGAGAGTCCTACTAATACTGATGAGGGGCTGGCTATCACCCAGTCCTACTAACTGATCAAGATCTGTCTTTTTAGATCTTAGAATTGGATACGAAACTGTGGAAATGATAAAAACTCTTAAATGCAATTAGTATTGATGTGTACTGTTACGAACACAATAAATAAAAATGGGAATTTGGCTTTATTGAGGAAGCCTGACCTCAAATGACTTTACCGAGGAAGCCTAACCTCTTGCAAAGAGTGCTATTTTCCAAATAATTCTTCTGATGAGCTTTATTCAATAGTTCAAGGTTTAAATAGATACTACAAGCCAACAAAGTAACTATCCACTAACACTAGATATGCTCCACCAATAGTTAATGCTTTACAATACAAAAAAATAATTACCCATTATTTAAACAATGGTTTGATTTTTCCCTTGTTGCATGATATAATTTGTCTCATGCAACACACAAAAAAGGGGGTGAGATCCACCTTTTTCCTTTCTCTCTCTTCTTCAAAGTGGATCTTACTCACTTTTTTGTGTGTTACATCAGACAAACATAAGGAACACATTTTCCTTTAAACAAACCAACAATTCATAAAATAATAAAAAAATAAAAAATAAAAAAATGACTTAAGTGTATCACGCACACGACATAGCCCCGACACGACAATCACTTTTCCCGTACTTAATTAAAATGTCTAACATACGCACACACACGATTCTGAGAAACTAGAGAAAACATTGAACAAGAATGGGAGAATGAGGACGACTAATCTAATTATTTACTCTTTTTTGAAATTTTTCTTATTCCTACATTTTCGAACAAATTCAAATTTAGGAAATCACTGAGAGATATAGCGGATTTCATGGCACTCATCTTACTTGCTGGAGGGGTACTAGTGATGCTGGTGAGCAAATACGGGCGTGAGATCCTTAATGCCCCTATAATTCAAAGTATTGTGCCATGGTTGAGTCCTACTAATACTGATGAGGGGTTTCCTTTCACCAAGTCCTACTAACTGATCAGGATCTGTCATATTAGATCTTAGAATTGGATATGAAACTACGAAAATGTTGAGAACCTGTAAATGCAATTAGTATTGATGTGTACAGTTACGAACACAATAAATAAAAATGGAAATTTGACTTTATTGGGGAAGCCTAACATCAAATGACTTTACTGAGGAAGCCTGACCTCTTGCAAAGATGTTATTTTCCAAATAATTCTACTGATGAGCTTTATTCAATAGTTCAAGGTTTTAAATAGATAATACAAGCCAACAAAGTAACTATCCACTAACACTATATATGCTCCACTAATAGTTAATGCCTTACAATACAAAAAAATAATTACCCATTATTTAAACAATGGTTTGATTTTTCCCATGTTGCATGATATAATTTGTCTCATGCAACACACAAAAAAGTGGGTGGGACCCACATTTTTCCTTTCTCTCTATTCTTCAAAGTGGGTTTTT